CCTCCTCCTCCTCCTCCTCCTCCTCCACCGCCTCCGGTACCACCAGTCGCGCCGTTTCCGCGGCTACCGCCCCCGCTCACGCAACGATTCACTTTGTACCTGCAATGCGAACAGAAGCACCCGGTTAATTCGTCTCTCTCTCTCTCTATGTTTCTCTTTCTCTCTATATATGTACATATATATGTAATATGTTTGTATTTCTATATATATGTACTAGGATATTATTGTGCGTGTCTCTCTGAATTTTCGTGCCAGGAATCATCGTCGAGGTCGATGAACGACGATGTTAATTTGTTGATTAAACTTTTGAAAAGAAAGTTTCTTCGAAAGAAACTCTACGCTATTATTTTTGACTATTTGGGAGAATGTGTTTTCTTTCGTACGGTTTAATATTTAATTTAGATTTTTTTCAATTTATTTGTAAAGTTTATGATAACCTGATTTTACATATTTTTCTTTTTTTTCTTTTATTTAATAGAAACCACTTTTAAGATCAATGGACGTAGTAATTTTCTTCAATTTTTCATGGCTTTGGTATTTGGATTTTTGTAGTGTTAACTGTTACTTGGTAATTGCATTAAACAAAGATCCCATTAATCAAATATTTTAAGTCCTGCCTAGCGAAATTGGTTTAAAAATTATTTAGCTTTTTTTAGATTTTTGTTGTAGAAAATGTCAATTGTATAGGTTATTATACCAACAAAGAGAAATATGCGTTGGATGTTCATAAGTTACAAATAAAGAAAAAGAAAAAAAAATACAAAATTTAACACCTTGCCAAGAGTAATCCGAAAACTCGTGGATTGTTTCTTTCTTTTTTATTGTTATTGATATTTTTAAATAAATGTTTGTGTATATATTTATATCGATACAAAATATTCCTTGTATCTTCTTCTTTCCTTTGTTCAATATTTTTTCATCCCTTTTTTTTTTTCTCTGTTAGATCATATTACGAAACGTAATTGGATCGCTTGTGGTGAATTTTTCACGTTGGTCACCTTTCTCTCTCTCTCTCTCTCTCTCTCTCTCTCTCTCTCTCTCTCTCTAACTTAACATTTGATCAGATAAATATGAAAATAACAAATTCCACGTATAATTCGAATTTTCTCGACAAATGTTTGAATTTTGTTAATTATCTNTCTCTCTCTCTATCTCTCTCTCTATCTCTCTCTCTTTCTCACACTAACCCTGATCGACCTAGCACACGTATCCGTTTGCCGTTGGTAACTTCCGTTCATGGACACCGGACATTGACATCCTGGATCTGGTTGGTTCGTTCATATTCTCGCGAATATTATTGCGGTTCGACAAGAATTCAAGAACAACATTATATTTGCACGTTCCATTATATATCGATCGAGGTATTGCACAAATATTTTCGTTAAATTTATTCATTTCGTTTGTTTTTGAAAATTATTCTTCAACATTTAACGAATTTGATATTCATTTCTATTGTATTACACAATTATTATTACTCCAATCCATTTAGGATTAAATTCGATTAGATTTTTAATCGATTTTATCAAATTTGTTAATACATTAATGACGAAAAGAAAAAAGAAAAAAAAAAAAAGAAAAGTTTATAGTAATAATTTTCAAAATAATTTAATATTACTTCGAACGAGAATTCGTACGTTGATTATATTTCGTTCAGATTTTATATATAATTGAAATAAATGAATATAAAATAACATGGAAATGCAGAAATAGAATTTCGAAAGCATTCTTAAGATACTTTTGGCTCTCTAACTTTTGATACTTTGAAAACAATAGTTGAAATAAAACGGTTACTTAATGATTTGCTTTATTAAGTAAATGACGGGCGTTAAGTTCAAAGTGAGTCCGAGAGTTCTCAAGAAAAATAATCTAGTCACGTCAGCAATGACCTCATATAGTGCAAAAGGGTTAATTGTACTCTCGAAAAGAAGTTCCGTCTGGCTAAGTTGAAAAAATAAAAGAAACTTTATTAATTTTCAATTCTACTGTTTGTCTATTCTTATAATTTCTTTTTTTTTCTTTAAACGATAAAATAAAAAACACGCAAACACAAACATACATACATATATACATACATATACACAAATTTATATTAATGAATGTATAACCTTCGAAATAATTACGAAACTTTTCTTAATTAATCATCACACACCGAGGTGAATGAATAAACCATCGCGATTGTTGCTAGAACTCTTAACAGGAAATGCGGTCGAGAAACCTCGATTTTTTTTTCGAGTGTGTGTGTGTGTCTGTGTTTTAGTGGTCAAAGAAGACGACCAAGTAAAAGAAGGATAAAGTCGGAGCAACCCTTTCTATGCATTAATTATTATATTTCGATAAAATACAATAGTTCTACGACAGTTCTTGTTTAAATATCCAATGAGAAATATTTATTCTTTTCTTTTCTTTTTTTTTTTATGGCAAATCTACGTGTTAATTCGATTCACAAAATCTAAAACAATCAATATTTTTCTTGGCAAAGTTCAATTACGATTACGCAATTTTTTAATCAAATTTATTGATAATTTATATACACATTTTTGTATCGTATATTGTAGATTTTCTTTTTCAAGATAGTATTAATTTTGTATTATTTAACGATAAATCAATCAAACCAACAATTCATTCATAATTATTGGCCCAAACAAAATATAAAATATCTTTAAACCGATGTGTACAATAAATAGCTATAATTTTAAATATAATAAATCGAATATAACATAAATTCTTACCCCTCTAAATGAAACAATAACAATAATAATAAAATCAGTAAAATTAAATGTAAAAGAGATTAAATCTGTGAAAATAACGAGTAAACAAACTGCTACATTAATAACTCTCATTTTTCTAATCTTCATTTTTAATATCGACGATTAACAAATAAAAACTACTAAGATACTAATTATCATCGAAAAATACACAAAATCGGACAAATCTTTTACGTTTATCTAAACCATTGTATTGTAGAACAGTTCGAAGACAAAAATTGGATACTTTGGAAGTTAAACAATAATTTCTAGAATATCGAGGAGAGTGAGTGAAAGAGAGAGAGAGAGAGAGAGAGAGAGAGAGAGAGAGCGAGAGAGAGAGAGAGAGAGAGAAGATCGAACTTGGTAGAGGTGGCCAACCGACGGTGGTATTGATCCGCGGGGGTCACCTTTGCCCCACCTCGACACGGGAACAGCCCCCAAATTCACCCCCACAACCTCCAACACAGCCACCCTTTCCAGACCGTCGTTCTACTCTCCACCCCTCTATCCTTCAACTCTCTCTCTCTCTCTCTCTCTCTCTCTCTCTCTCTCTCTCTCTCTCGCACTTCTTCTGCAAAGTAGACCGGCAAAAATGCCCCGGGAAAAATCCGGCGCGCATTGCAGACATTCCTATCTCTCTCTTTCTCTCCCTCTCTCTCTCTCTATCTCTCTCTCTCTCTCTCTCTCTCTCTCTCTCATTCTCTCACTCACTCGCTCATTCTTCTTTTATCATGAAGGAAGAAAAGAGGGATCAAAAAAATAGCGGGAAGAACGTGAGGTAGATGAATTTATTCCTTTTCCGTGCCATCATCCAACCCTCTCGAACTATCACCCTCTTTCTCCACCTCCCCACCCCCCTTCAGCGTTCCCAACCACTACCATCACCAATCGAAACTCGTATGAATGGATGAATAACGCGTACGTGGATGAACTCATTTCTACACTCTTCTATGATTTCTTCTTCTTATTTTCATATTACTATTTTTCATTTCAATTTTGGATGGTAGTTATGATAGATACGTGAAATTAGGTTAACCATAATTTATATTTATCGTGACATTTCAACATAGCCCACCCATCGCGATGATTAATTAGGTTTACGCGGAATTAACGGAGTTCATTGATTCGTTATTATTTATCATCACTATTTTATATTACTTTATCGGGGTGGTGTTGTTGTGTTTTTGTTTGTTTGTATTTTTCGCGTTTAATTGTAAGAAGTTGTGTATACTTTGATAGGTTTGATTTAAAATACGATTATGAGAATAAGATAAATTAAATCGAAATCTCGTTTTTCATAATGGAAATAAATATATTGAAGTATACACATGTACACACTTTATTTAAGTATCATGAGTTAGGTTTGAACTGCAGTAACCAGTCAGCAAAACCAGTTGCCAACCGGTACCCCGAACACCCTGCAGCGACATGCAGATGTCAATTGCATTCAATGATACTGAAACGACACGTAATGCACGTAGCAACATATTCTCTCCCCCTTTCCTCATTCTCCTTCTCTTTCTCCTCCTCCTCCTCCTCCTCTTCCTCTTTTCCCCCTGTTCTTCCTTCCCTCTTCAATAATCTCGTAGTCACGGTAATCAAATGTTAATCGACATTTCATTTAAACTCTCGATGACATATTTCTACATTTAACGGTACAATCAATCTTATCTTTCATTTTCGAAATATCAAATTTATGTGAAAAGGAATAGAAACAATTTCCTCTCCCCCCCTCCTCCTTCTCCTCCTCCTCCTCCTCATCTACTTCGAGAGTAAATAACGAATAAATAATTGATTATGTGATAAGTAATGTTTGCTATTAAAAGAAAAGAAAAAAGAAAAGAAAAAATCGAACAAAAAATGTTAATAAGATGATTACACACGAGTTTTAATTTATTCACGATTATCTTCGCGTATTATTATAATTACATTAATTACGGATTCCGCGCGTTTTAAGCGCATCAAATTAATAATAAAATAATAAAAGAGATAGAGAAGAATAGGTATAAAATGGGCAATGGGATTAAAAAAAGGAAAAAGAAAAAAAAAAAGGAGGAAAAAAATACTTGCGATTGGAAATATAATTGATAAATAGAAAAAAAAAATCCGGGTTTGATAATAAATGACGTCATATCAAGTGGATAAAATTAGGGGTTGATTTCGAGGTGACACTATTTTTTCTTTTCTTCTTCTTTGTTTTATTATCCGCGTGGTTTGTTTTTGCAAACCTTTTTCCCCCCCCCCTCCCTCCCGGTTGGGTTTTTTTTTGTTTTGCTTTTATTTTTTGTTTAAAGAACGCACGGTTTGCAGTAACTAAGCGAATAATAACGGTCGTTCACACTTTACGGCTTA